ATACAGTATTTATCTCTTCTTGTTTGAAGATACTTCCAAAAATTACACCCCGATTGGTTGCTGTGTCCAAGACAAAACCAAAAGAATTGATTCAAATAGCATATGCACAGGGACAAAGACACTTTGGTGAAAATTATGTGAGTATTTACAATGAAAACTGCATATATTCTTATTAAATATTAATTCAACTATTGTCTAGGCCCATGGTTAAAGCTTGCCAATCTTTTACACTTCCTGTGGTTTCCCACAAATGTTTACATTGCTTCTCAATGACCATTTTAATTAAAGAAAACAAATTTACAGGCCATTTAGATATTTAAACATAATTTAGGTAATTTTATATTTTTTTAGGTTCAAGAAATACTTGAGAAGGCGTGGGATGACAGTTTGCGAGGCACTTGTCAAGACATCAAATGGCATTTTATTGGACACTTACAAACAAACAAGGTGAAGAAGCTTCTAGGTGAGTATAACGAGTATAGTTTGCTAAAATTAGTTGAGTTAATGTATGTGCTAGTTTCCCGTTCCGCAACTTTTTTTAGCCCACAACCCAAATTATATGTCAAGCACTCTGGCGCGACTCATTGAACCCGAAGGCAAATTTCTCACCTGAATTTCATGGTAAAATGATTCAATATGGTATTTTTTTTTTAGTTTGAGTTTTTAGTTTAACAGACATGGCTATCATTTTATATGCACGTAGGATAGCAGGTATCAGAAGAACCACCCACTTGATTCTTTTTTTGGCAATCAATTAAAAGATCTATCACCCACAATATCCATTTAAAACCCCTAAAAATGAAAATATAAATTTGATATACTAATTTAACAAAACCATGTAAGTTATCAAATTTTTCAATAAGATTTTAAAAAATGAATGATTTACAGACATTTTACAGTACATGAATTCCTAGATTTGCTGCCAGAAATTTCATGGGTTATGCGAAGACATACACACATTAAATTGAAAAGAAAAATGCTTTCTCATTATAATTTTTAGTTGAAAGCCAAACACATTGAAAGGAACAAAACTAACACTTTCAAGTTGTCATACCTAAAGTACAAATGTTTTGAACAAGAAACTGATAACGCACGCATTACAAAAATACAGCACATGCCAAACTTTAATTGCACTTTCGTTTACTGTAATTTGACTTCCTTTATCCTCACTCACGTTAAGTAAAGTTTTCACAATCTGAAGAGATTATACGGACCATCAAATCTTTTCTGTGACCCAAACTTTGGGTCACAACCTATGTACTAGTCGGTATGCTCATAGTATGCTCTTTGTGCATACCATACTTTAATAAGTAGTTTAATTTTTACTTAATTTTCACAGAGATTCCAAATCTATATATGGTTGAAACTGTTGACAGATTCAAGTTAGCTAAAGAAATAGACAAACATTGGAGAACATTACAACAACCACAAAAGTTGAAGGTTATGGTACAAGTTAACACCAGTGGTGAAGAAAGTAAGTCTGATCCTATTCTTCATTCCATAGTTGTTGTCCTCTCATATAATTTACAAAACAAAATCACAAGTGAGACTATTTCAATATTCCTGCATTTTAAAACAATATATTCTATCAGGAAGTAAAAAAAAAGTACAAATCTAGAAACTGTTGGTTTAATGACGATCGGTGCTTTTGACCATGATCATACATTTCAATATTCCTGCATTTTAAAACAATATCTTACTTCCTAGATAAAAGTGGTGTAGCTCCAGATATGTGTTGCACCCTCTATCAGGAAGTAAAAGAAAAATGCACAAATCTAGAAACTGTTGGTTTGATGACGATCGGTGCTTTTGACCATGATCTTAGTAGGGGACCGAACCCTGACTTTCAGGTATGAGGCATCTTCTCAAATTATTTAATTCAATTTCAAGTGTATACATGCGTAGTAATGTAAATAGCAATGTATATACATGTACAGTATATACAGTCTTAATAAACGTTTTATTTTGTATTTTAGTGTCTTCTACAGTGTCGTGAAGAAGTTTGTAAGAAGTTTGACTTATCACTTGACCAGGTAGAACTGAGTATGGGAATGTCCAATGACTTTGAACATGCAGTAAGTCGATATTATAATTTCAAGGTTTACATGGTATGGTAGACTGCATTCAATTTATTAACATAGTGTTGAGTTGATAAACTTGAATAATAAAATAAAATTTATAAATTACTTACTTTTACTTTTTCAGATAATTCATGGAAGTACAAACGTAAGGGTTGGAAGCACCATTTTTGGTGCTAGAACCTATGCTGCCAAAAGCGAAGAAAAGTCTTCAACCTCAAGTGATTCATCCAAAAACAATCATATATCAAATGAAATTCAGAAACTAAAAATAAATGATAAAAAAACTTAATGAAAAATGTTATTTTAAAATGTAAAATAAAAAAGAAGAAATATCCATAGGCATTACTGTATAGTATTATTGTTCTAGAGAATGGTTCTTATGCTGCGTGATCTACACCCCTTCTCAAACTATGGGTTTTTGCCCTTAAATTTGAGAAGCAGAAATCTACACCAAACACGATTTCTCTTGCCATGTGCTGCAATGTTTATCAGATTCTCCGGATCATTTTGATGAAATTGGACACACCACATTGAAATAATTTGATCAAATTTTGAATGCTTATATTATATGTAGTGTACTGTATATACAACACAAGCTACCATCTGTCAAAAATATTTAAATATGTTCTGCACTGAAATATTAAAAAAATTGTATGAGATTGCTAACTTGTTCATTAAAAAACCAAAACCTGCAAGTGTGAATTTCTACACTCTAAATTATTTTCATGATCGAAGGCACATTCAATCAAATTGTAATTTCTAGTTATCTGAAGTGGCTGCAACCATGTTTACAATTGGATTCACAATGGACCTTTCTCCGATCTGTCCACAACAGGGTCTGTTTGAACCAGTACACGTGGTTAACCCCCTACTCATCTTGAAAGATGTACTGGGTTCTTTAAAGTGCATACGAGCCAAATTGCGTACGCTGGGCCTACGGATTATAGTCCTTATATGAGAAGACTTGTTCCACAACCATACTGCCCCACTATGACAAAAGGAAGTAACTGACAATTTTTCAAAAAACAGGTTTTTTAGTCGCTATCAACGAACAAATAATTTGGAACATATTGATATATTTGAGTATGCTCAAATCCCACTAATTAACGTAATTAAAGTAATTAGCAATACAAAAAGGAAGTAAGAGACTAAAAATACAGTAAAAACCACCAGAATAGGAAGCAGGTGACAAAATCAACATGCTCCATATTCCTTAATTACTCAAAGCAATGCAAACAACAGTTGCTTCCTTTTGTCAAGGTGGGGCAGCATAGGCGAGCGTGCCGTTCGAACCAGCGCCGATATAAAATATCGAACCACTGAACGCTATTAGCCGCGTTGCGATGAAGGTGTTAATCGGATGATATTTGTGTTAACTGGCTGTGTAAACAGTGTTAGTAACTCCAAAGACCTATATAAAGTTAAATCCACATTGCCGCAGAGTTAACTCGGGCTACGTTCAGACTTGGAGATAAGCCAGGCTTGAGTTAAGCCCCGGCCCAACATTAAGCCCGGCCTAATTTTTTGCCGGGCGTTCAGAATAGCGGGATTAGCCAGGCGAGAATTTGCATAATAGTGAACCTTAACCAGGAAACGTATTTTTCAAAACATTGCTCGCGAAATGTACGTACGCTCGCTCTCAGTGTACGTAACTAAATGCTGATTGGTCATTTTGTTACCCGGAAAGTTAGTGCAAGACCTCCCCTCAACGATTAAAGCCCGGCTTAAAAAAGTTAAACACGGTGGCACGCCAGGCCTTGTTACTATAGGAACACAGCCCGGCTTGAGATAAGCCACGTAGTTCAGACTGGCAGGTGGATAAACCTGGGGAGTTGAGCCAGGTTTATCCACCTAGTCTGAAATAAGCCTCAGATCATTCGCATGTTCTTGGCGAAAAACAGCTGTTGTTTGACCTGTGTGACTAATCATGGAATTTGCTGTTGATAAACAGTGTGAAATACAATTATTTGCATAAATGTTTAGTAATACAGCTGCGGTAGTTTTTTATCAATTTACATATATTTTACATGTTTGACAAAGGGTTTCAAAACAAACAGCAATGCGAGCGGTTTTTTTTTCAGGTCAGTCCATAACCATGGGACTTCCTGGTACAACCGATGTGTTTATCAGGGTCTGCTTAACATGTAGACGCTCAACTGGAGATCACTGGTGTTATTTATCTGATGGCAAACTGCCATGTAAACATGGCTATTGTTTTGTGGGACCTTTGCATTAATTAATCAATGGGCAGGTCCATTAAATAATTGTCAAAATCATGAGGTTTATTGCAGCAAATTCCTATAATCAAATACTAAAAGGGATCCATTATTTTTCCTCTTTTGTTTATTTTTTGCCTTGAAATTCCTCTACTAAATAATCAAAATAAAGCAACAACATTTCTGAACCTTTTCAACAAATTTTATTTGAAATTTCTGAGGCCAACAGTATTTTTTTCAGCATTTCCAATTTGTGTGTCCTGTACTGTTAATTATTTATAAGATATCTGTAATGATATACAACTAATATATTATGATTAAAGTTAATAAACAGTCCCTGTAACCAGGATTCCTTTCATGGGAGTCTTTTTGATGGGAGGTGGGTTTACTTGAAGAGGGTTGGGAACACCTCCCCATCCCTGGTTAGGGGCCTGATAAAATCCACTATCAGCATGTTTTATTTACACCAACAGACACTTTTTATGAAATTAAAATATTCAACTCCTGTCCCCGATGGGGGTCTCTCGGTTGGATTATTGGACAATTGAATTTATATTAGTTTCTTAAACTGTACAATTTAACAAAAGTCATCTTATCGAATACACCGACTACAAACCATTTTACCATACAGTATAGAATTGAACTGTGCTCATGGGTATGTTTTTTTGCCCACAGGCTTCACAACAAATCTCTACAAGAAAACATTCTTGTGTTTCCTCAATAAGCACTTTCTGGTTAGTTATATTCAACATCCCAGCGAACATGATCAATACTTTTTTTTCATCTTTAGTTCTCTTTCTTTTCTTCTTGTTGGCTACTATCATTAGTTTCACTACTTCCTTCGCTACTTGCCTCACTGCCACCCCCTGATTGGTCCTTCTCTGAAGCCATCTGAAATACAAACATTAAAATTTATGTAAAGATATGTCAAGTAACTTCACTGGCAAAAATATGTTTAATATGGTTATATAATTTTTAATAGTGCTTTTTCAATGAATAGTACTTTGTAAACAGCATGCTTCATGCCACGGTCCATAATAACTGTAATAGGTATTTTAATAATGCTACAAATGTTTTTTTAAGTCTCACCTTTTTGTAGGCCATTTCAAAAAGCTTTAATGAGGCTTGCTGAAGAGCTGATGAAGCCTGTCTAAGGCTTTCAGAGTCCTCTGTGTCCTTTTTCTGAAGCAGGTCTTTCACCTTTTGAATTTCTTCTTTCAGTTTGTCACACTGAAATTAATAAATTCAGTCACTAATATTACAAAAATTTAATTATATTTTTATAATATACTCAATGTCTATATCTCATTCATGGTAGGAAAAATGTGCTCGCTCAGAAAGAAGATTTTCCGCATTCTCATTAAGAAATATGGTTGACGAAAAATATGCAAAATGCAACATCACTGCAGAGCAACATTATGTAATCAATAAAATATATATATATACAT